TTGGATACGCGAATAGAGGCGATAACGGATATGGACAGTGTGCTAGTGGTACAAGAATTTTGGGACGTATTTCCCGAAGAATTGTCAGGAGTGCCTCCGGAGAGGCAAGTGGAGTTTCATATTGACTTGGTACAAGGTGTCGCCTCGATCACGAAGTAACCATATCGGTTGGCACCACCCGAGATGCAGGAGCTATCTACGTAACTTTAAGAGCTACTAAAACGAGGGTTCATACGTCCGAGTAGCTCCCCGTTGGGTGCACCATTTCTTTTTGTGAAAAAGAAAGACGGATCGCACAGGATGTGTATTGATTATAGGGAGCTGAACAAGCTGACGGTGAAGAACCGTTATCCTTTTCCAAGGATCGACGATTTATTTGATCAGATTCAGGGTGCATCTTGGTTCTCCAAGATTGATCTTCGGTCCGAGTATCATCAGATGAGGATTAGGGATGAGGATATACCGAAGACAAATTTTAGGACTCGTTATGGGCATTATGAGTTTGTGGTGACGCCATTTGGGCTCACCAATGCCTCGGCAATGTTCATGGATCTCATGAACCGGGTGTGAAGACCGATGTTGGATCGGTCAATGATTGTTTTTATTGATGATATCCTGCTTTACTCTACAACTAGAGAGCAGCATGAGCATCACTTGAGAGAGGTGCTGGAGACTTTGAGGGCGGAGAAGCTTTATGCAAAGTTCTCCGAATGTGATTTCTGGCTATGGGAAGTGCAGTTTTTGGGGCATGTCATCAATCAAGAGGGTATTTTGGTTGACCCAACTAAGGTGGAGGCTGTGATCCGATGGGAGGTACCGAGGAACGCCTCATAGATTCATAGCTTCTTGGGTTTAGCGAGTTACTATCGGAGATTTATCTAGTATTTCTCCAAGATTACTATGCTATTGACCCGTTTGACCAAGAAGAATGTGAGTTTCCGGTGGGATGAGGATCAGCAGAGGGCTTTTGAGACTCTGATGAAGAGGTTATGCGAGGCTCTAGTCCTAGTACTTCCTGAGGGGTTAGATGATTTAGTGGTATATTGTAATGCATCAATTTCATGGTTGGGTGCATTATTGATGCATAGGAGGCATGTGATTGCTTATGCCTCGAGGCAGTTGAAGCCTCACGAGGCAAATTACCACACGCATGATCCGGAGCTGGGGGTGGTGCTGTTTGCCCTCAAGATTTGGAGGCATTATTTGTATGGGGTGCGGTTCATTATTTATACCGATCACAAGAGTCTAAAATATTTGATGGATCAGTAGAACCTTAATATGCGGCAGAGGAGATGGTTGGATGTATTGAAGGATTATGATTGCGAGATCCTATACCATCCAGGGAAGGCCAACGTGGTGGACGAGGCTTTGAGTTGCAAGGTGACATGTTCCCCTATTAGGGACATTTGTATGAGGATGACGGTGATTTCGCCTTTGTTGGATATGATCAAGGTGGCTCAGGTTGAAGGGGGTAAAGAAGGAGAACTGGAAAACAAAGAAAATTCGAGACCAGTATCCTTTGTTTGTCAAGGATAGTCATGGCCTTTTCACTCAGTGTGGCCGAGTGTGGGTACCATTAGCAGGGGGAGTGAGGTAAAGATTGTTAGAGGAAGCACATAAGTCCAAGTTTTCTATACATCTAGGCGCAACAAAAATGTATAAGGACTTGAGAATGAGTTATTGGTGGCCCTGCATGAAGTGGGAAATCGCCTAGTTTGTGGAGCGGTGCTTGACCTGCAGGAAGGTCATGGCTGAGCATCAGCGGTCTCATGGCAAGGTTCAGTCGTTACCCATTCCCATGTGGAAGTGGGAAGATATCACTATGGGCTTCATTACGAAGCTACCAAGGATGGCGAGAGTAGTGGATGTCATATGGGTTATCGTGGACAGACTAACGAAGAGTACCCATTTCATTCCGATCTCCGAAAGTATATCCGCAGAAAAGTTAGCGGGCATTTATGTTCGAGAAATGGTGGCTAGGAACGGGGTTCCGGTGTCAGTGGTTTCGGATAGGGATGTTCGGTTTACATCCAAGTTTTGGGGAAAGTTCCATGAGGAACTGGGTACACAGCAACACTTCAGTACAACATATCACCCTCAGACGGACGATCAGAGTGAGAGGACGATCCAGACATTGGAGAACATGTTGCGAGCATGCGTGCTAGATTTTGGAGGAAGTTGAGATACATAGCTTCCACTAGCAGAGTTCTCGTACAAAAACAGTTATTATGATAGTATAGATCAAGCTCCTTGTGAGATGTTATATGGTCGGAGGTGCAGGATCCCAATATGCTGGGAGGAGTTCGGACGTCGGGTGATGGGGAGCACAGAGGTGGTACTCAAGACCACCAGGTTGATCTAGCAGGTGTGTGATCAATTACAGGTCGCACAGAGCCATCAGAAGAGTTATGCTAATTGACAGCGATCGGACCTTGAGTTTCAGGTGGGAGATTTCATTTTGCTGAAGGTGTCACCCTGGAAGGGGATTATCAGGTTTCGTAAAAGAGGCAAGATGGGGCCTCGATTTATAGGCCCGTTCAGGATCATAGCCTGAGTGGGTAAGGTGGCCTATCATTTAGAGCTTCCAGAGGAGCTTAGTCAGATTCACAACTCCTTACACGTATCTCAGCTTCGTAAGTGTGTTGCTAACGAGTCTGCGGTTATATCCTTAGATGATATTCAGGTGGATGGGGGCATGAATTATGTCGAGAGGGCGATTGCCATACTAGACAGGAAGACAAAGGGACTTCGAAACAAGGAATTGAAGTTGGTAAAGGTGAAATGGTAGCACCGAAGGGGCTCCGAATGGACTTGGAGCCAGAGGAGGAGATGCGGTAGTATTACCCTAAACTGTTTTCAGCCACGGACATTAAGGGAGAAGTCTAGTTCAAGTGGGGGAGAGTTGTAACATCAAAAATTCTAGTATGTCTTGAAACCCTAAGGAATGATAAATTTTGCATAATTAGTCCCTTAAGTACGTTGGGCGTACTTAAGTGTAAACTTAGCGTACTGCTTGGTTGTGGTCACGGAGGAATCAGGATATGTTGGGCGTACCTTGAGTTACGCGGGGCGTATGCGCCAGGGATGCAAAACCCTAAATCCCAGAGTTGAGGCCTATTTAAACATCTTTAAGTCCCTTGGACTAAACCCCATAGAGCCTCCCCAGCTATGTAACGTTCATATACTCCTCGAAACCTTGTGAGATCATTCTTGAGCCTTAGAGAGTACATTTGTGGCCTTTTTTTAGTGTGTATGTCAAGAAGAATGGGTGGCCAAGCAAGCTTGGATCAAGTGGGTGCTTCAAGATCCTGCACCAAAATCATATTGCAAAGCTTCTGGAGGTAAAAAAAAGCTTGCATCTTTCCTGTCTAATCTTTAGATCTAGCTACGGTTTTGGTGGTTTGTCCTTTGGTGAACCTTAGACCTCTTTTGTTGAGCTAAGCCTCCCCTTTCGATATAAGAGATAGATCTGAGGTCCCCTAGTCATGTAGAAGTATAAAAATGGAAGCTTGATGAGAGATTTGACCTCATTCTTGGGTAAAAGACCTTGGAAAGGTCTTAATGGAGTACTTGGGTGTGTATGAGACATGCAAAGGCATAAAGTTGCCAACTTTATGCCTTAGGACATCTTGTTTGACTTAGATCCAGCCATTGGACGTGAAAGATTCGAGCATTAAACACTTAATGGAAAAAGTGCTTAAAATGGTTGTATGTTCGGTGTAACTAGATGTACGCGGCGTGTAGTCCATAAGCCTTCATTATGCTACATGTACCAGGGTGGTACACTGGGCGTACGCAACTCAGTTGGGTCCTAAGTTGTTTTGGTCCTCTGGGCCTCAGTTGGTTGTTGGGCTTGATTGGATTCTGTGAGTTAGAGGCCTTTTCATCTATTTGGATCGTGGATTTACCGGTTGGGCCTTATTAGGCCAAGAGGCCCATTAAGGATGTTGGACTTGGACTTTGGGACCCATTTGCAAAGGAAAGGGTAATTGGTCCTTGGGGGTTGAATTGGAAGGTTGGGCCTTCTTGGAATAATTTAAGGTCTTATCATTTATTATATTATTATTGTTATTATTCAGCGCGGGAGGTTGCGGATTATTTGGAGGACAATATTCGTATTCATCGGACGGAGGCGAGTCTTCTCACCATACATATGGGTCTAAGGCACCAAGTTCGGCCCTATATGTGATTATCATATGTGTGTTACTCATTCTATGATTTGATATGATATGTGATTGTGTGTTTTGAATGAAGACCCCAGGGGGAGCCTGTAGCATTGGATGTAAGACCATGTGGGGTAGCCCATGACAGTCCTAGGTAAAGACCACGTGGGGTAGCCCATGGCATTGGATGTAAGGCCATGTGGGGTAGCCCATGGCAGTCCTAGGTAAAGACCATGTGGGGTAGCCCATGGAATTCTTGCTAAATCATATTGCATGGTTTATGTGGCATGTTTATAGCTTTATTAGCTAACTGGATATGTGTTTGTGAATGTGTGTCGTATGCTTTGGGAAACTCACTAAGCATTTCGTTTACAGGTTGTTGATTTGTTTAAGGTACTTCTGAGCCCAGGGGCAAGGGTGAGGCGTGATGACGTGGTGCACACTCTATCTATCTTTTTAATGTATCTGGGACCCTCTGATGTTTTAAAAAGGAAAATAGTGATGTAATGAATGTTATTTTGAAAACATATGTTTGGGAATCTATGGTTTATGAGATAGGTTTTGATTAACTCAAAAATGAAAAATTTTCTTTGTAAAATTGGGTCGTTACATCAAGAAGACATGGCAAAATAAATTGATGTGGTGCAACGTGATTACGCTTCTTTAAACCAACAAGTTGACGTTATTGCTGAGGTTGTTGCCAAGTTCGTAATGCTATAGGAAGCCTTGAGTCCACAACTTACTCAATTGTATACTACATAATCTTCTAGTTTTGCTTAGATCAATAATCATTTGAAAGAGTTGAAATCTTTTATCTCGAAGTCCAGTTCATCTCCAATGATAACTCCTGAGTTTTTATCTCAGAAGCTTACTCATTTTGAAGCCATTCTTCGCAAACAATTGGCCCATTTGTCAAGAATCTCAAATCTTTTACCAGCAGATGCCCCACCTGTTGTCACAGGGGTGCATGGGAGAGAAAGGAAGGTTGGTGGAAGTACGAATGAAGAGGAAAAGGTTGTTGGAAAAGTGTTCTCCACAAAATTACCAACAACAAATCCAACTATTTCAACAGCTGGTCCAATGAGTTCGACAATTGTGACTACAATGCCAATCACCAAAGGTATAGTGATTCGATGATCTGGTGAAGGGGGGACAAATCACTTCATCAACTTCTTCCATACATATCTTCAACAACAATTTTGCTTCAACTCGGTTGGTGATGGAAACGCCAGATGATAGGACAACTTAAGGAATTACACCAATCATTATATCATCCGACCAATCAAAGGTGTACATTCGAAGGTACCGTACTCCTCTATACGTACTGTTAATTTATCTGACGTATTCTAAAATAAAGATACCACTCTTACGATATCCTCTAATATGTATCATTCACTATCGTAAGACATCTCATTTCCTCCATTTACTTAATTTGCTACGAGTCTTCACTGTGACATTATATTCACGGAAGCATGTAGAAGGTTTAGACGTGTAATCCTCCTTGTTACTCCAAAAAGTTACATGCCAATTCTAATACTGTAATTAAATGTTTATAAATCTAAACACGTAAAATTTCCAGATCCAGTCAGCAATAGACCATAGATCCGATCAAACAATAGCATCATAAAGCATATAAGGCATCTGATAGCATAAATCATTGAGCACATAAAAGCAATCTAGGCATCTTCCCCAAATAAGTTAGCGCTCGTGTCTATTCAGGTGTACTACCTAAAATATAATAGACACACTCCTCATGATCATCGCTTAGCATTCTACATTTAAGTCTAGAAATCCTACAAATTCCTACTTCGCTTAAACTAATGCTCTGATACCAACTATGACATCCCCAATTTCATGGATAGAAAAGACCGATTTGTTTATGCTTATTTAAAATTAGAGTATCCTATTTGAGGAATAATATTGTGGAATTTGTTCCCAGAAAACATGATAATGATTTTATCAAAGCATTTCCGAATAAATGTATTTTATTACATTAAAACATTGGGATGTCATCATCAATACAGAAAGTTAAGCATCATGAAATATTACAAGCCTTACAGTAATTAAACTAGTCGCCTACTACTCCTTGAATTTCTTAGCAGAATGTATCTTTCATATCTCTACATGTGATACAAAAAATTATGTGGGTCAGGTTGGAAAACCTGGTGGGTACATAGGGTTTTCAACCCACAATAATATAATTATTATGTTTAATCATCAAAAACTTAACCTAATTTCCCATCCCCATTATCTTCTTTATTCTTAAGGATTTTTCCCTAAGGATCATCTATGCTAACAGTACTAGTTCGATGATTCCTCCATGATACTTGTAAGTACACATTCTTTAATATTTATTCCTAGGGATTTTTCCTAAGGAATAGGCATGAAGTCTATCGCTGCCAAGGTTTATATAATAGACACTAAGTCCATAGCTACAAGTGTTGTCTATTAGGCACTAAGTCCATAGGTGTCATCATTTATCTAATAGGCACCGAGTCCATAGCCACTAGTGTTTATCTATTAGGCGCTAAGTCCATAGTTTCCAGAGTTCATCTATAAGGCACTAAGTCCATAGCTACCAATGTTTATCTCCTCTATTGACAATATTATTTTAGGGAGTCCACCTACAATACCTATCAGTGGGTTTTTCGAGTACATCTAGTGAACATTGAGTTCAAAAACACCTACATGTTGCGAGCCTACTAGCATTCCATTGGATTGTCTAGATTAGTCCGTGGTTGCCATCTATACTCAGCTAGATGAAATCATATTATAGTAAATGCCTCTCATCATCTATTTCATCTTTCATCACTCATCATCTATATCATCTTTCATCTCTCATCTTCTACATCATCTTTCATCTACCCGTCTTTACCCAATATATTTATTGGTATAAAAATATATATACAATTTAAATCAAGTAAAACATTATAAATCATTCATCTGGCATATATATCAGAAACACATATAATAAGGACATATAGCATGTATTAATATTAAATACTTCATATCTATGTGTACGAGGAAAGTAACTATACACTCACTTGTTAAAGTGATGAATCGAAATCCGGACATCACTTCGCTTCTAGGAACTTTCTTTTCCTTTGAGGTAACCTAGTGTCAATCACTAAGTCTTAGTCTAATATTTATTGCAACTAATTATTAGTCTAGATTCATCATTAATTAAAGTCTATTGATCTATAGCTGATAAGGTACAACCGGGTAGGATCATATCGGATGTAGGGTTCGTTTGGTATACAAAGTATGTTGTTTGGAAACCTCAATTTAAACACCTCACTAAATCCAGGATGTACATCATCCCCGTAAGTAGGTTAATCAGTATAACGATTAGGAATCATTGATAAATCTTGTTTATAGGTGCATAATAATAATAATGAACTTAAACATAAGTTATACTTAAAGTACGGTAATCATGACTTAACTTATAGGTGGTTTAGTTAGAAACCATACTTTGTGTGCGCAAAGCTTCTAAACCAAAAGATCGACTTCTCTGGTCTTTTTGATGCTCCGGAGCATCGCTACTAACACCTAAGAAGTGCTATAGAAAGATATTGACACCTTTCGCAGGGGGGGGGGGGGGGGGGGAGAGAGTAGGATTGAATGGTGTAAAGAATGGAGTGAATTTCGACTTCTATTTATAGGGTGGAAGTGGTCCAGTATACAGGGCGTACTCAAATTATGCAGGGAATACTAGGGGCCATGTTTCAGCACCAGATCGAAAGCTTTGGGGAAGAAGGCGTGATGCAAGATCGCGACACGTGTCTCCCTCTGGTTAATCCAAAAATTAATTATCTTGTAAAATCCATAACTTTTGCACACAAGCTCCGTTTTGGCGTTCTTTATATCCCCATGTAGTTATCGACGTGATCTGCAACTTACTTTTAGAAACTATTGGCTAATTTTTATTTCACTTTTAAAGTTATATTATAACAGTCTTAGACAGTTAAAATCCGTTAAAAATTCATAACTTTGTCATCCGACGTCCGTATTCGATTGGCTTTTTATCGTTGCACTCCTATTAACAAGATCTTCAATTCACATTTATATTGTGTCGGCTAGTAATCGATCGATCAAAAATTCAATTTCCAATCTGTAAATTATTACGCTGAATCTTAGAAAAATCATAACTTTCTCTAACGAAGTTAGATTTGGACGTTCTCTATATGCACGCTCTCGGTTTAACGTCTACTGCGATTTTTGTTTAGATTGCTAAGGCTAAAAAGTATTTTTTTTCAAAAATTTACTTTTTATGATACGCGGAGTCATGTTGGTTTAATCGTGAAACTTCGACGGGCCATCACTTCTACGTTATAAGTCGGATTTTAGCGTTCTTTATATGTACGAAATCCTTGTGACATATACTATAACTTTGGTTAAGATTATTTATCCTAAATAATATTCTATCAAAAAGCCATGTTTAACGCTTATTATATCTAAATTGACTATCCCGAATCTGCGGATGTTACAGTATACATCAAGACGAACGTGTGGATATAAAGAACGTTGAAATCGGAGCTCGTATGAAGAAATATATGATTTTTCAAAGGTTCGGCGGATTTTATCCTTCTATGTGGCCAGTAAGAAGGGTACACGACACGTGGCACTAATGACTTGACACCACCTACCAATAATTGTATGTAAGAAAGTATAAACTTGTCTGTGTCGGTATGCTACGTGTAGCTCAAAAATCTCCCCTATAAATAGAGACTTAATTCTCACTCTTTCCTTGCACAATTTCACTATCAAACATATATATATATATATATATATATATATATATATATATATATATATATATATATATATATATATATATCATGGCAATTTCTCGTTTTGAAGTATCGATAGTGATGTGTTTTAAAGTGACTAAAAGTTTTAAATTTGTAACCCTAACCAATTTTACCAGCTAAAATATAATACACACAATACGTAATGTATATAGTCACGTAGTAGTATATAAGAGTAATTAATGGTTGAACACAAGGAACCAAATTTTAAACTAAAATTAATTGCTAAAAATTAAACTATCATAACTATAACTAAATTTATTGCAACTTCTTTATATTGTTGTGGAACTTTTTTCTCTTTTTTTTTTCTTCCACAACTTTTTCTATGTTTTTTTTATATATTTCCAATATTTGAATTTCAACTTTCACATAATAGCAAACAAATAAAACTAACTTTTATTTTTATTAATAATATAGCTCGTGACTTTCTAAGAAATTCATTGGAGTACTCGAAATTTCAAAGACCACTAATGGAACCCATGACTTTTGATGAAACTCATGTAACAATTTTTTTACATCCATCCAAGCTTTTAAAATTAGGTGGATATATATAAATATCGTCAGGGGAAACACACGTCGAATCTCAAAGGCCACAGATTGGTTCTTCTCTTGAAATATTAATTATTGAATATATATATATATATATATATATATATATATATATATATATATATATATATATATATAGGGGATAGGAAATATACATTACAGTCTCACCTAAGCTTAGGTACTAAACCTTTAAAATAGTCGTTTTAACATGCTAAATATACCCGGTTTGGTTTCACTTGGTAAATATATCATTCTCCGTAACATTTCTTTCTTTCATTATCGTTTTATCATCTCTGTTTTCTTTCCTTAATTATCGTTTATTACTTCATCCAAGTGAACATTACTAAACCCCCTAAACCTAAACCTAAACCCTAACTTTAAACCGTAAACACTAAAGCTAAACCCTAAACCCTAAATCTAAACACTAAACCCTAAACCCGAAACCCTAACCCTAAACCCTAAACCCTAAACCCTAAACCCTAAACCCTAAACATAAACCTAAACCCTAAACCCTAAACCCTAAACTCTAAACCCTAAACCCTATCGTGTCGATCTTGAATTTACATCTTGAAGTATTAGTCGTGAATCCATTAATCGTAATCTTTATATAGTAAAACAATGTATTTTCAAGAGGTTTAGTACCTAAGCTTAGATGGGGCTGTAATGTATATTCCCTTTTCCCACATATATATATATATATATATATATATATATATATATAGAGAGAGAGAGAGAGAGAGACTCAAAGTGCATAAATCAAACATATAATGCTTGAAACTT